GGAGGTTTCCAGTCAAAGGTTGCTTAAGATTAAACCCAAAGACAAGCCTGTCCATAAGTCAGGATTTTATAGTCTCTACTGTGTTCCTAACCTCATGCCCTTCTTTCTCTGGTCAGCTCTGCTTTAGTGTCCAGGGGACCTTCAGTGACCTGTTCTCCTAGGGGCAAAAGCTACTTCTAACCACTTGGATAGCAGCATGAAAAACATCATCAAACATCTGTCACAGCGAGTAAACGGGGGTTTAACTCTCAACCACCAATGCATCTCAACTTAATAGTGTTACAGATTAGTGGTAATATTAACAAAACATTCATTAACAATCATTCGTTTCCTTGTGTGATGGCTTGTGATCCAGCATGGCAAGACCTAGACTCATATGCTCCTACAGCATCTGCGGCTCTTTTCACAGCAGCTTGAGGGGAGTGAAACCTTTATAACCCTTCTATAATGTGGGGAGACCATAAACCTTATCTTTTAAACAGCCCCCTCTGTAAAAAGAGGACTTCCTTTCTATTTTTGTTGGATGTTGTTAGAGGTGCTTGTCCTCAGGGAGAACTGATAACAGGGGCATAATGTTACGGGATTTAAGGGTGATGCACTGATACATGTACACCACTCAATCTAAGCACTGAAAACCACTTATGTGGTAGCCTGCAGTAGCTTGTGGTCCAGCATTAGCCTGGGTGGAAATAAGGTCATAAAAGTAGACCAGGATATAGAGACTGACTCTATAATTTTAGGGCACACTAAGTAACTAGTTCATATTTTCAAATCATTTTCTAGTAGATGCAGAAACGACCCTATCCAGGGTGAATTAATGAGCTCTTAGACCCCTCCACTTTCTGTGGGCAGAACACTACCTTTTCCAATTGATTCTCTCCAGACCAGTGACCTGAAATCCCACAAAGTCACCCATTTCACAAGAAGTAATGCTTTACAGCAATCCTTGTTTACACCTCAGAAGACATGCTATGCCTAGTTAATATTTAATGTATCCTGTTTATAATATTGGAGCCTCAAAGAAACAAAGAAAACATTTATCTGATGAAGATTTAAAAAAAAAGAAAAAGGACATCCAATCAAATTAGGTGACCACGCCCCTTTCAGCACCCTTGAGCCACACTTCATCAAGGCCGGTGAAGTGTATTACCCACAATCCACTGCTGTGTGAGAAGAAAGTGGAGTGATGGCTCAAGTGCCTTTTCTGAAAAGTTTTAATTTAACAAAATAAGTTCCATTTAAGACAATTCATGATATTTTTTTATGCTCTGAATGTTTATACTAAGATTTATTGTGGACAGCAATAAATAGGAAATGTGTTTGTTTGAAAGTTGATAATAAAGATTTTTTTTTAATAGCACAAACAGCGACCAGCATCCCAGCATGTGTCATAGTCGATGACGCAATGATTCCTGTCCCAATTTGGTACACTTGTGTACTATGCACTTTAACCCATACGGCACACTTACTCCAAGTGCACTTCACAAATGACCATAGGGTGCAGTGTGAGTACTGGGATTGGGTTCCAGAGTGCTTTTAATATCTGCTATGAGAGAAAAAAAGAGGGATTTCAGTTCATGTTTGTGTATGAAAAGTGTGTTTCCTGTGAACTCTTCTTCTGCTGCCATTCTACTACTACTAGTTTTGAGTTGCTGCTGATGTGTCTGTGTTTTGATAATCTGTGTTTTGTGTTTATGTTTATGTAAATAAATGATGTTTACTTTTAACAAGAGAACATGTGTCCTCAATTGTTACACCAGGCCACCTATACAGCCTGGATTGTAACACAATGGGGGCTCATCTGGGATAAAAAAAAGGAACTACGCGAAGTAGGTTTGTGATCTATCAAACATGGAGTACGCACAGCTGCACGCAATCTCCACTTCATAAATCGGAGACTAACGCCGGGGACACACCGGCCGCGGAAGCGCCGCGAAGCGCCGAGAAGCGAATCGCTCACGAAATTCGGCCGCTGATCGCCGCTCCTCAGTTCAGATCAGACGCGCCCCAGTCGAGGCGCGCCTCGGCTCAGCTGTAGTTTTTCTTTTAAACACTTGGTGTCCTCCATTTCCTCTCTGCCTTTCCTCAGCTCTTTTCCTCTACGTTTGAGTGTTTGTGCACGCGCGCGCGTATGTGTGTGTGTGAAATAATATTATAAATAAATATTTTCCTTGAACGTGGAAACACCTTTGTGTGTGTGTGTGTGTGTGTGTGTGTGTGTGTGTGTGTGTGTGTGTGTGTGTGTGTGTGTGTGTGTGTGTGTGTGTGTGTGTGTGTGTGTGTGTGTGTGTGTGTGTGTGTGAGAGAGAGAGAGAGAACCTATGTTTCTGCCAGTTGAATCTCTTGGAACCCGCTCAAATTCTGCAGCTGTATCCTAGCAGTTTCTTCTGAAATGGGTACGTAAATAACCGTGTTTTTCGGGGGTCATACAGCTCCTTGTGTTTCTCAACTTCCATAATTAATTTAAAGTCATCTATCTTAACTGCTTGCCTCAGACTTTCTGCCTCTCTGTCCTGTTTGCTCCGTGAAAAGACACCCAAAACCACACACCCCTTCACGCGGTCACACACGCACACGAGTTCGATGTGTGTATGTGTGCGTGTTCGTGTGGTTTTTCTGCAGTGTCTGATTACGAACACATTTGATTGCGTAATTTTATTTTGAAATGCTTTATTTTATTAACTTTACCGGCCTGCCTCTTATGTCTAGGTTTGACTTCCTGCCAGAATTGACGCAATTCACCCGCGGCTTGCGAAAAAAATAGAGCCGACGCCGAAATGATCGCTGCACGGTGCAAGCTGGAGCGCCGGCGCGAGGCGATTCGCGGCGCTTCGGCGGCCCATGTGGTCTATAGAATAGCTTAACAAGGGCGCCGAATGAAGGCAGTCCCATTTTTGCAGCTCTTCCGCGGCCAGTGTGTCCCCGGCGTAACGAGAATGTTTCTCAGCTGCATTTTAGTCACATCCCGCCCTCACCACGCCCACTTACTGCCGTAAAGAGTCATCGCAAAGTGCCTTGTGGATCTCATGCATATACATAAGCCGACTTGTTGCAGCATTTCGATCACGACCGCAGATCAAGGAAGCACTATTTCACAAGCAGAAATTCAGGTACTTGTGGGTGAGGTGGAGAAATGAATGGAAGTGCTTTTTAAATAACCCAGTGTCCATAAAATGGAATTCATACTAGATATGAATTTTTAATGTCTTATGGTCCTTAATTAAATGTAATTCATATCTATCATTACATTTGCAAAGAGAAAATCCATGGAGGGGCACACCGTTGCTGAAGCCGTCAATGCTGAGTTCTTCAGAGAGATCTGTGGCGGATGTAAAAAAAGTGATCCGATCAAGATTCGATCCCCAGACACCCGGGTGAAAGTCGCACGCTAACCAGTCAGCCAAACGGAGATCTCCCTTGTCCAAGTAGCCAGGGCGCATGATCAATCGGGTCACAGTGACAGGACACACACACTGTCACAGACGCATGACATTCTATCTCAATCTGTCCCCCTGCTGATTTCTGCATTCCGTATTCTGCACTTCAGGCTCTGTGTGTGTGTGTGTGTGTGTGTGTGTGTGTGTGTGTGTGTGTGTGTGTGTGTGTGTGTGTGTGTGTGTGTGCGCACACGTGTGTGCGCATGTGAGGGGTCTTGTTCTGTGTGAAAACGAAGCAGTACAAGTGATAATGCTGCAGGATTTCACAATTTTATCCTCAGCAGCAGCACTGCAGGTGCTGTCCATGTGCAAAATGTGCGTAAGCAAGGTCCTTAGTCAACTTAAAGTTGCGCACATTTTCCCACTAAGTTTTCTTTCATGAATCCCAAAGTTTGCGTGGAAAGTTGCTTACGCAGTTTTCCGACCCCGTTTTGTGCGTAAGCAAGCTTGATAAATGAGGCCCCTGGGAGTGTTTGTGATAAAAGCCATGGAGGGCAAAGGTGAAAGAAAAAGATTGTGGTTGAACTTGTGTTACATTTTTCTTTCTTTTAAGGGAGTAAGTGTTACAGCTGTTGCTGTTTGTCTCAGAAATCGGACACTGCAGAGGACAATCAGTGCTTTGCCTCCTCCTACCTGCACAGCTGTACTCACTTGGGCTGATCACCTCCTGAGCAGCATAAAAGGGAGAGCTGCCAGGAGGATGGGAGAGACTGGATCTGTGCCAGTTCTCGCATGTGCTCCAGTTGTTTGTGTTTTAAAGGCTTTTAAATGGGTTTTAGTTCTTTAAACTGGTGAAGCTTAACAACTTTTAGAGGTTTTTAACAGATGAGGGACCAGAGTGCTGGCTTCCTCTTGGCTCCCAAACTTGTGTATAGTCAGTGGACTTTGTGTGTGAATGTTTGGAAGCATTCGGATGTCTGTTTGAAACGTAAACCCATGGCCATTTTAACACAATGTTTTAAGTACTTTTAGATTTGGAGCGTTTTGTCATTTTAAAATCCTTTTAATAAAATCATTGTTTAAAACATGCCTCTGTGTTACTCCCTTTCCTTCCCCCTATCCACCAATAGAGGACGTAACATGGCAGCTATATTGTTTTCTCTATAGCAATCCCCACTGGTTGGGAAAGGTATTGCAGGAAGCATGGTGCACTTCAGTGTAAACAGAAACTGTGATGCAATTTTGATTGCATGGCTCGATAATTTTTATAATAGCCCAAAGGAGGCTCGGGTTAGGAGCTGGTTGTCCATCCAAACCCAAGCTCCATCCATGCCAGTCGCATCCTTAAGCAAAACACACCACACTACTTGTCTGCTGCTGGTGGTCGGAGGGACTTGTGGCACCTGTGTACAGCAGCCTTGCCTCTGTTAGTGTACCCCAGGACAACTGGCTAAAATGTAGTTGTAGGTGTGTGAACGTGTGCATGAATGGGTGAATGACGGGCTGGTTCCCATTTAAAACACTTGAGAACACCAAGAATGTAAAATGAGCATCAAAGGAACTTAATATGCTAATTATAATGAGGTTCAAAAACACTCGCTTAGTATCATGATGTTAGCTCACCCAAATGTTCTTAGAGATCTTCTGATATGATAGAAGACTGTGATCTGGAGAGATGTGAAATGAGTACAACTCCTCATCATCTTCTGGCTTTCTTTCTTCACTTTTTGTTAAAGCTTGCAGTAGATCCTCAACGTATCTCTCTCTTGCAACACCCAAGTCTTTGGCTTCCCTTGTCACCTCATCCTCTGAAACTGACAAAGCAACCAAAAACAAATAATTTCTTTTAAGGAATACCTTTCTTTTTTTTTTTTCTTTTTTTTTTTGTATAATTGCAAAGTTAAACAGAACCTTAGGCAGCTTTGAGATGACAGAGGACTGTTGAAAAAAAATACACTACAAACACTAATTATGCTGTAACACATGAGTGCATGCCAATGCAGATTTGAAAAGAAGCATACAGAGAAACCAAGGGGAATGTCATCAGCTGTTGCACAGCTGCTCGTACTCACTTGGAAGGTCCCAATTAACACATCAAACACGGAGACGAGACAACCCAGAAGCCCACACAAAACAGTCACTACCACATATCTACCTTTCAGCTCTGCAGATGGATATAAAAAAATAAATAAATAAACTCTCCGGGGAAGTTATGTTCCAGGTGTCCCATCGGAGAATACATAGTCATGTATATATGTAACGATTAATACACACTAACACACACAAAGACCTTCAGCATGGACTTCCGTGTACAAAGACAAGCCTTGTAGAGCTTAATCTACTTCATACACCTGTAAGCTGCAGCCAAGGATGCAGCCAAGGAGTGAAGAGGAACAAGGTAACTGCTGTCCAACTGCTTAAAGCAATAGAACAGTTAGATCTTTATGAGACGGGGTCAGCCAGGTGTCTGTGTGTTTCAGACAACCTGATGACCGGCACACCTGGTGGCAAAGCAGACCAATCAACAGGTAAAAAACCAAGTCTCATTATTACACTTAAGCCTAAATATGTGACATAAGTTAGTTTTAAGACATTTGTTTGAAATCTTTACCTTCTCCAATCCATGTGGAGCGGCCATCAGTGAGAACTAATGTGAAGCCAGCACCCAGATCTTCAGCCCAGTCCACTCGCAGGAAGTGGGGGGTAGCCGGGTTGGAACGGAGACAAATCTGGCGAATGGTACCACTCATGTTTGAAATTTAAAGCCTGCAAAAAAAACATTTTACTGTTATTTCAGAAGCTTGAAACTAAATGCAATGTAAATGTATAAAAACAGAAACACCATCAAACCCAGGAATTGTGTTCAGTTGTAGGACCTCATTTGAAAAGACCTCCGCCGTCAGTCTGCGTGTCAGTTTGTATTAATCTCCACTTGCATCAATGTGATTCATGGTTTTATGTGTTGGATTTGCCTATTAAATGCTGCTGTGTGTGTCTTCAGTGGGGGGTCCTACTGAGTCAGTAGGACCACACAAAGATTAACAGGTTTTGGCAGGTTTCATGTTGGAAGTGTGGGGCTGCCTACCACCAGCAGGGAAATTACATGCTGTTAAAGATAAATACAGGATTATTATTAAAAAAAATCAACTAGATCTTTGTATTTTTTGTGTGTTCATTCATCTACAGACATAGATAAAGCTGTTTGTACCCCTCCATTATGAAGAAATGTAATGACTGTCACAAAATAACTCAGAAATTAATAACAAATGAAAAATTACTGAAAATCACACAGTAGAAGTCCAACAATAATTTCAAATTCAACAGAATAATGACTCCCCAAGAGTCGTTGGTATCCTAGATTATACAGTAATTTGACAACATAGACATGTAAAACTAAAGTGTGTCCTGTCCTGCACAGGCGTCTTTGATATTGTGATTAGTCAGTCTGTATTTAAAGGGTGAAAGGTAGTCACAGAGCTGTTTGGAGTGTGTGTGTGTGTGTGTGTGTGTGTGTGTGTGTGTGTGTGTGTGTGTGTGTGTGTGTGTGTGTGTGTGTGTGTGTGTGTACCACAGTAAAAGTGGACCAGAGAAAACTATCGAGAGTACACTTGGGAGATCAGAGAGACAATTATTGATCATTGCATTAAATGTTAAATGATGATGTTAAAGTTGCCTGCAGCTGCACAAAGTGTTTGGAAGTTTAAGGTCCGCAAATCCTCCCTGAATCTGGCCGCTGTTAGAAAAGTGATAACAAATTGAAAAGAATAACACAGACAGTAACCAAAGAACCCAATCTCCAAAGAGATTAGAGGTGAACTCCAAGGTCTACCATTGGCCCAAGCAGTGTTGTGTCTTGCCAATCAGTGCTCTGCATTAATTGGGTGGGCTTAATGCTAGCGCTGCGACAGAGAAAAACTACAAAGATGGAATCGGCTCAAGAACGCCGCTCATTTGAAATGGCTTTGGCATCAACTTTGGACTATTTAGATTTGAGCTTTTCTAATAAGACATGAGCAGATAGAGGTACTTGAGTCATTTATTTCGAAAAAGGATGTATTTGCGTCCTCATCGTGTATGGTGCACTGCCCTGTCACGTTGTTCGCTGCTTTGATTGGTCCTAGCGCTGAACAGCTGTGGGCAGAGACTGTTAGAAAGGCAACCACAGAAAAGGACCGAATATAGATGGGAAAAACTGAACTGTGATGTCTTATCTATAAATTTTTACAGGATAACAGGTCAAATCAACTCATTTATGGTCCCTTCACTCAATAGTTCCCACCGAATCATTATTTACCAAAAGCCACTGATTAGGAGTCCGAGCCACTTTTCCCTCTGACTAATGACTTGACTGCTTGACTCAGAACTGCAGTTAAGCTTTAGTCCCCAGCTAGAAACAGCTGCTGCTCAGCAGAGTAAAGATAAAAAACGCTGATCAAAGCTTTACAATATAATTCATGTGATGCTTCCTAAAAAGCCCATTCAGTTCACTATTTAGGTACAAGCTGTTCTCAACCTGCCTGAGAAACTTTTACTTGATTACGGCCGGCCAATCCACATCGTGTGATTACCGCTTCCACAAGAAGTGAGAGGTGCATCGGACAACTTCCCTTACTTAAACACAGGGCAAGAGATGGAGGGAGAAGGACAGCTAAATTAGCAGTTACTTTTTTCAAACATGTCCAGCTTGGCTAACGAAAATGATCCCTTGTAAACGGTGCGCAATGAGTTACGGCATAAAGCAGTGACAGCTTGCTCTGTTTTCAGTATTATATCACATAAAAATGAGAAAGAGAGGGATCAAGCGTATCCATAATGGAACCCAATTATACCTGTGTTGTGTCTCTTGAGTAAATGCACAAAGAAACTTTCAGCAGATTCAAGTCGACCCTTTGTGCTTTGAGAAGGGGGCGTGGCTGTAACATGGAGGCAGCTGAAGGCATCAACTTTAACCTCATAAAGTGAACCCAGCTACTCATTAGTTACTGTAACATCTGTTGGGAAGGTACTATGACCCCGTGGTAATGACAGAAGGACATGTCAATTAAATAAACAGTACCGTCTGTCAGGAATGGATAGGTGCGCAAAGCCATCAAAGATGATTCTGAAATCTGGCTGTCAGCATCTGTTCAGTCACTCGACCCACCTATAAGCCACGGACATGTTTAACTCCACATTTGAGGTCTGTCACGTACGCCTTTGTCCTCTTTTCTTGTAAAATGTGCTCAACTTTTTCATTGTGAATTCTGCAATTCTCATATTGTACCAAACTGTAAACACCATTAAAATATAATGTGATTGCATGATTTAAGTGCGTCTGTGACATTTTAAACCATGCCGATTCCTGTCTGAGCTGAAATACTCTTGCAAAAGATATTTTTTTCTGAGTGACAGTGGTTAAACAAAGTCTACATGAAACATTTGCACACCACTGAGCTCATTTTGGTTTGCAAACTGCAAGTCATAAATCAGAGCAGAGCAATGCAATTTTGTTACAAAAAGTTTTTTTTTTAAAGCATTTTATGTATTAAATGAGGAGTTCACAGAAAGTTAACAAATCCAGGATGGGAAACTCTTCCTTAATGGACACAGACAATTAGGTTTGTCCTGCCATTGTTGTTTTCACAGGGCTTTCCACCCTATACAACTGTTGTGAGGAGAAAAGAACTTTATGACAAGTGCACTGTTATTATGTCCTGTCAGGCATTAAAACAGTGCTGCCATATAACAACGGCATGTTGGAAAAGAGACTTCTTATTTCTCCTCTCCACGTATTTGCTGTCCTACTTTGTACACTGAAACGACAGTGAGGACATAAATGTGTGGTTCCATAATTATTATGGACAAAAATCACAAATATACAATTAGATTATTTTAAAAAGAATGTTAAATTTTAACCTGCCCATTTCAGTGCCATCACATTTCATTGTAAACAATAATAAAAGGATTGATTTGTAGTTTTGTTTTAATTTGCTTAATCAAATAATGACTCAAAAATCCAACAACTCCTGCATGGCGCCAACGCACGTCATCCGCAGCTCTTGTCTCCTTATTGACTACCAACTTGTTTCAAGAGTTGTGACCCAACATGGTCTAATTGGCCATTTTATTCCTCCATTTCTGCTGCAGTATTGTACAGGATAGTGTTCCAGGGTTGATATTCTTAAAAACATATATCTACTTTGTTCTTTGTTCCATGTCACCAATGTTTGGGCTACCGTATGGGTTGGAGGAAATTCCAATCTCCACAGCATTGCCCCATTGTGTTTCCATCATGCACAGAAATATCCCAATAGTCCTCGGAATATCAGGAATCCCAAACCAAAACCAAAAAGGACTAGTCTCAATCATTCATTAAAGGTGTGGCTGACTGAAAAAAAAAACTATTTTTTAATGATCATTTCTGATTATAAATCAGTCACTCTGAGTTTTTCATGCAGACCAAACACAAAAAAGGTCTCCTACACATATCTACTGCATTAGCCTCTGATAAAAGTTTAAAATAAATGATGGTGAAAATCTAGAATTTGGAAATCACAGATCTACGTCACACTGTTCATGAACTCACCAATTTTGACTCGCAACAGAGAAGGCCGTTGTTGTTTTAACATCAGGTAATCAGCAATAGACTTATCGGTTAGTTTAAGCTAACCATTAGCATTAGCAACTTCGCCACACCACAGAAACTCCTCCAGGCCTGTGTTATTTGTGGAGATAAAACATCCACATTGCAAGTCAGTGGTAGAGTTGTGTTGCTGTTATCCAATCCGGGGAGGTATATATATCAGGACATAAGCATTACGCCTGACACTCAGCTGTGATGTGGGTAAATTTTAAGTCTGAGAAATGGTGCTATGATATATACCCCCCCCCCCCCCCCACCACCACCACCACCACCACCACCATCACCACCACCACCAAAAGTGTTCGATAATGACTAAAACTAAACGTAAAACCCAAATGAGTGTGCAAACATCTTTGTCTTGCTCTCTAAAGTTATTTTTTACCTTTGCTGCAAAGGGGAAATTCGATTTCTTCCTAATAAGTGGTTGTTTATAATTATACTCTAATGATACTTAAACAACTCTAAAGGCATACTGTAATTTAGCTGTGGAGGCAACTCTAATTAGCCATAACATAAAGACCACGTGCATAAAGTTCCTTATCTGGCTCCAAAGCTCTGACTAGTAAGAGGGTGTAAAAAGCCCATCTAGGACAGTCCAGGAAGATCTCATTAACAACAGATCATTTGGTTTCTGTGGGTGGTGGGGTGGAGTCTTGGGATATGACTTCCTCCCCCGCAAATACCATCACATCCCATTAGATTTGTATCTGGGATGTTTGGAGGCTGAGTGAACATCTCACGCCCTTTGGTGAGCCCTTCACAGATTTTGTTCGTCTTAATTGTGTAGAACAGAAGAGCAGAAGGCTGCTCATGTGGGAAGGGATGCTGTCATGAAGAAGGGCTGACTGGTCTATAAAACTGTTTAGCTAGGTTGCAAATGTCAAAGTGAAACCCACATCAGTGGCAAGATGCAGGTTTTCTCTGCTACTGCATTGTTCCAAAGCAAGCGGTGTAGCTTCATCTGTCATGATGATTTGGTGAGTTCAACCTTTTTTTTTTAGTGATGCACTGATATGAAATTTTTGGGCCAATACTTATATCCGATATTAAGATCACTGTTATGGCCGATAACCGATATTTGCCGATACTGATTTACTGACATTAATGCTTCAAAAATCAGCAGATTTTGCATAGAATGAAAATGATTAAAGCTGAATTTACGTTATTATGCACACACAACACACACATTTACAGTTCTGAGAAGATTTCATTCACTGTTCACATGACTAAACAATTACACATCACCCCCCTCACCCTCTGAAACAGGCAAACAAATGGAGACGAGATGGAAAAAATATTGGTCGTTAATATCAGCCCAGCTTTATTTATCAAACCAACACTGATATGTAAAAAAATGACGAACATCGGCCGATACCGATATTGATGCCGATATATTGTCCATCCCTGCTTTATTTTTTGTTAAATAAGTCAACATTATGTAAGTGCAAGTTTAGCTTTTTCTGAAAGGAAATTTTACTTGATTCCAGTCAAGTGTAAACTTCTAGACTATGAACTATAATTATTATCGCCTAATACTGGCATCTAATTGTATTAATGGAAATTATTTACATCAGTTTTAACTCTTAATGACAAAACCTTTACATACTATTAGCATATCATACATCAATCATACTTGCGGAAAATCACTCTGTCTCGCCAACCGTGAGAGCGGAGGGATAGGCATGGACCTGCCCACATTGGGTAAGCGGCCCACAGAGACAATGCCATATATGCCAGATGGCCAGTCCACTCCTGGTTTTTAACTATATTCCCGACTTGAATCAATATGGTTTTTAAGTAAAGAGCTCCAATAAACTGTGGCCTCACTTTCATCCTCATCGTTTCAATTTATCGAATGCTCACTATATTTCTGAGTAAAACTGCTACTTTTATGCAACAATCAAATTTTTGTAGTCAACAGCTCCAAAAAACATTTTAAAATTAAAATGCAATTATTGAATTTTACAAGAGGCTACGCTGCTAACGTCCTTCATTGCATTAAAAAAAAGCTGCACATATACAGTCTACAACAGTAAGGCCCGATGCCTAAAGTGGTCAGTGCACTGTAAACTATAAAAGTGAATCATATTATGAGGAATGTGAGCTTGTTTACACTTGCGCTCCAGCAGTCAAAATCCAAAAGACTATTTATGTGTGGTTTACAGTCTGACACATTTCCATTCACATGAAGGGGTCTTTAGGAGTTCCTGAGAAGGAAGAGTCGAGAGGGATTTGCAAAACACGGTTTAAATGCAGTCAAGATGCTGTGTGGCTGAATGGATGGGAGGGACCTTCATTGTGAAAACTTTGAGGAAAAGGAAACCACAAACATGCATGTTTACGTCACTGCAAGACAATAAGACTAATTTGTCTAGAAGGACATCATATGGGTAATCTTTTAAATTAGAATTTGTATTAGGTCTACAGCTACTGACAAAACATGGTATTGTCTGTTTTTGTTGTTCTTTTCCTACTTCTAAATAAAAAAAAGCCTGATTTGGTTTATTAGGAAATGAGGTGTATTAATGGAAATGGTCCGCAAAACTGTTCACCACTAGAGCAATAATGTTTATAAATTATGTCAGGATCCATTGATGCATACTAAATTTAATCATTAATCTGAATGCTCCATCACTCATGGGCAATGTAGCCAACACACCACACGAGGTGAAGATTTCACTTTTTTCTATTTAAAAATCTCTAAAATTAAATAATAACGATAATAAATACAACTTCCTGATGTTATTTCTTCCATAAAATAGAACTGTCCAAGTGCACAACGAGCGGAACAAAGTACAGCAGGAAGTTCCTTTACACTTTCCGTTTTTCTTGCTTTTCGGTTATAACATTTACTAAATATTTTTGAAGGTGGGACACACAAGGCGCACTTTCCCTTTAAAAAACTTACAGCACTGCTTGAGTTGCGACGTCCAAACAGAAGGTATTTCAGCTCTCTTCCTCCCAACTCGGATATTTTCAACCTTTCAACTCATGGGCTCCTTTTAGCCAATCAACGAACAGACGTAGACATCTTACGTAAAATACGTACGTAGCGTAAGCCATCTTCGGGGACGTTACGTAAATTCCAGAGGGCAGGAAGTGTGATGTGGCTTTGAGTTCCATCAAAAATGGTAAGTTTGATTTCCACAAGATGCTACTTTTACTGTTTACAACGATCGGGTACCATCTGTGCTACAAGTTAGCGTACAGTCTGCCTCAGTAGTGAACTGGGACATGAAGTAATTGTGCGTTTTGGTGGGTTGTAATGCTAATAGGCTACACGATTAGCAAAAATGCGCTATCCTGTCACTTATATTCTCAACAATTAAATTATAATCCATCTCTAGCATCACGTAAATAGATTTTTTTTTAATCTAAGGTTGGGCTGTTTTCTGTGACAATGCCTCAGAAGTCACTAAATGGTAGGAATCGTACAATTTTTACGGAACGTGCCACGTAGCTGCACCACTGCTGCTGATAGGTCAGAGGATAGTACGGATGAGTGGTTATAAACTTGTTTTCTCATATTTGTTTACACATTTAAACGACTAACTGACGTTATAATTGCCTTACAATTATTTAGCTGCATTTGCAATTGCAAGAATTTGAAATATTTTGTTTGTCACTTGGTTAGGAATCCCAACAAAATGTGTTACTACAAAAGAAGAAATAGGAAGTGTCTTAGTTCAGAAAGGTCACAAAGTTATAATGTATAAGCTATTTTTCCACATAAGTGTATTTTAGTAAAGTACTAAATGTAAATTCTGAGTTTTGCAGTGCACAAATGACGTCTGAACCGCAGAAGAGAGATTACATCTACTGGATAGGTTCAGCTGAGTCAAGATCTATAAACGACAGTCAATTTTATTATATGATATGGTGTGTGGTGTACATTTTATATTTTCTTTTCCACCTGCAGACAGTTGCCTGTCAGTGTGGGTAAAGAATAAGAATAAGAATACCTTTATTAGTCCCTCAGTGGGGAAATTGCAATATTGCAATGGCTCAGGTACACAGGATAACAGCAGTAGCACACAAGATATCGCACAAGAGTACATAATAAGTTAAGTTAATTATTGCACATGGTAATGAGAGTAGTAGTTATATTGCACATGTTTTGAAAATATGATATTTGCAGTGGAAGGTTACAGATGTATGGCTTTTATTAGCAGTGGCTATTATAGAGTCTAACAGCAGCAGGGAGGAACGATCATGCGGTATCTCTCCTTCGTACAGCGAGGGTGGATCAGTCTGTTGCTGAAGCTGCTCTCCAGAGCAGACAAGGCATCCTGCAGGGGGTGTGACTCATGGTCCAGGATGGATCTGAGTTTTGCCAGCACCCTCTTGTCCCTCACCTCTCGTACTGAGTCCAGAGGACAGCCCAGGACAGAGCTGGACTTCTATATCAGCCTGTCCAGCTTTTTTCTCTCCCTCTCTGTGATGCTGCTGCTCCAACACACCACACCATACAGGATTGCTGATGCCACCACAGAGTCGTAGAAGGTCATCAGGAGTGTCCCCGTCACCCCAAAAGGCCGTAGTCTCCTCAGGAGGTGGAGCCTGCTCTGGCCCTTCCTGTACAGTGCGTCTGTGTTGTGAGACCAGTCCTGTTTGTTATCTTCACAGCCTGTGTGGAATTATTTACAACTGTCAAATTTGTGTGTCTATTTATTGTACATGATATATATGACTTTTATCAAAAAGCATCTTAAAGTTGAAGAGTGTGAGATTAATTCACTGAATGAGCAGTCACAACAGCTACAGCACTAAATATAAAATCTAAGCACAAAAATGATAAATGCATAATTGTGTGAAAATTTAATTTTTAAGATTTGTGATTTACTAGACTACAAGAAAATGTTATTGGGTGTAGATGCACTATTCATTAATAGTCTGATAAAACAGGAGTGTCTGTTTCACCAAAGCATGCACTTTCAATCGTATGCTGCCACGGACAAGTAAGATATGGGGTGTTTTATTGTATGTACTACCTCAATATGGAGTTGAGTGAAAATGTGCAAAGGGGTTGTGACTTTTTGCTAATATTGTCATTTACTTTACTAATACATGTCGTGATTTGAGTGTCATCCTCGTTTGCTGCAATGATTTATTAAATCAAATTAACTAAAAATGTCTTAGCTTTTATTGTCTAAAATTCAAAAATGTATAAGAGGATTTTATGGTATTTTTAAAATAAATGAAATTTGGACAAAATTTGCTGATAGTTTTAGTTCATGCCAGGAATCTATTGCCAATAACTGGACACATCACTGCTTATTTTGTTTTCACTTGTGACCCAATACCACTTACTCAGACACGTATAAACTATTATTTATAGCAAACACAATTTTCAGACTAGATCAAAAAGCCACACTGACCACGATCTCTTTGACCCTTTCTTGTAGGTGTGTAAGAAAATATTGATTTGGCAATATATCGCAATACTTTTTCCTGCGATTTATCAATATTCAAAATTCGTGTATCAAATTTTTGGAAGAATTTACATGCAAAGATTATTTTTTTTTATTATTTTGGTGCAAATCAAACGTTAGTTAGCAGCAGTGTGCAATAGGTTTTGTTTCCACCACTGAATTGTAAATCCCTCTATTATGATGAATGATAAATGACCCGCACTTGTATAGCGCCTCTCAGAGTAAGGACTCCAAAGCGCTTTACACTACAGTGTATCATTCATCCATTCACACACACATTCACACACTGATGGTGATGAGCTACAATGTAGCCACAGCTGCCCTGGGGCACACTTGACAGAGACGAGGCTGCCGAGCACAGGCGCCACCAGTCCCTCCGACCACCACCAGCAGGCAAGGTGGGTTAAGTGTCTTGCCCAAGGACACAACAGCAGAATTCTCTGTCCGGAGCCGGGATCGAATCTGCAGCCTTCCGATTACTGGACAACCCGCTCAACCTGTTGAGCTACTGCTGCCCAGATACCCCATTTAAACATTTTACGTATCAGTTTGGACAGTTTAGTAAATTTTCATACAATAATTTCAGTCTAAAAAAAATTGCTAATATCATCTGGCTGAGTGTATCGCAATATATGATGATACGTATCATATCGCCAGAATTTCACCAGTACACATTCCTACTTTCTTGAGTCTAATATATTGGGCATATATTGAATGTCCAACAAAACCTTTCTCCAAAATAGTCATATAAATGGACTCCATGTTTTCCCATGTCTTGATGTTGTAATATCGCTGAGCTCCTTTTAACATTATTGTATTAAACGTGTCTTTCTGTTTTGTTTTTACAGTCAGCCATTTTCAACTTCCAGTCTCTGCTAACTGTGATTCTCCTGCTGATCTGTACTTGTGCATATATCAGAGCCTTGGCTCCCAGCCTGCTGGACAAAAATAAGACTGGGTAAGTTCAAACATTCAGAGAAGTTACAATCTATTAGAAATGTCTATAATTTAATTTTGCTTTTTGGCAGCACTTTCTTTTTGCAATAGTCAGATTTAACAAAGTTCTTATGCAATCAAACCAACAATTAAGATTATTTAATTTGTGTGGCATCAATCTAACAAACCTCCAGGACTTGGAAGTATCTTCTACCGGAATTTGAGGCCATAAACCACAACAGGTCATAGAATCCAATTCCCCTAAGGTTCAGGGATGTTTCTAAGTATTGACCTAGTCAATGTCAGGCCATGTGGTTATAATGTTGGGCATCATTTATGTGAATAAAATCAACCAATTTTTATTTTTATTGTTTTCATGAATAATAAATCATTTAATAATTATTTTGTATATGATGCACTTTCGAATATCGATATTTGAATATTCTACCTGACCCATCTAGGAAAAAAACGCACCACCTCGTTTTCAGTGAAAAATCTAGAGCATTGTGAAGCACATTCATAGGCATGCCAAGCCCATAGGTGGCAGTAGCGGTGGGTTTTATATACATAAAAATATTTCTGGATTTATGTCTATTAACACTGCCATTTTTCTCATGTCAATACATTAGGTCTTTTTAAAAATCAAAAAGATGTTCATGTTCCTTTTAAGATGCTGTGCTACAAATTGGATGGGGTGGAGTCACGTGACTCCACCTCATCCAGTCCAACTAGAAGTGAAAGATGGTTATGGATATGGAGGACTATCCAAATGCTGAAGCAGCGGCGGGGGCAAATGGGTAGTGGATGGCGACGGCAACCAGCCGCACGGGTAGTTATCGTCCATATCTCGTTATCGAGGTGAACTGCTCATTATGTCTTAACTTTTTTTTTTCATCTTTTATTTCATTTAAAAACATAGTAACTTTAAAAAATAATAAAAATAATGAAATGCTTAAATGAAAAGGAGCAGATAGAAGAAAATCTTGTATGTAATCTGCCCCATTCACAGCCTTAGCAAAAAATAAAGACATACTCGCTAACAAAGATTACTGAGACAGCTACCAAGCAGCTTACCACTAATTAACTAACAATCCTTGAATGGAGTTTCAATACCTTTGTTTGAAATCATTGCTGATCAATACAGAAAAAATAAAAAGATAAATACACTCAAGAGTATTCCATATAATTTCTTATCATATCGTTTTTTTACATTCTGTTTAAACATTATGATTGATTTGGCCTCTTTCATTACGTATTCCAGACTGTTCCATATCCTGACTCCATAAACAGAAACACTGTGCTTGTAGCAACTTTGTCTTTTTTCAAATTTCATTAGAATATTTATTGGTAATGATTTTTTATGAGCTTTATACATGAATTTTAATATGTTATGATCCACCACTAAACCTGGAAACTTTAATACTCTTTACTCGGCAAGTAATGGACCGGTCGGTGCTCTATAACTACTGAGTAATGATTCTTATGGCTCTTTTTTGTTGTAACAAAAGTGATTGTGTATGAGTTTTATACATTGTTCCCCAGAGTTCAATACAATAAGTCATATATGGTGCAATCAAGGAATTATATACTTGAAGTAGTGCTTTTTATTTTAAAAATGTTTTATGCAGTAAACCAATTGCTTTATTACATTTTAGATTTGCACATACGTACAAAGCTACCCCACCAACTTTTTTATTGTTTCTATTTAGTTTAAAGAACTGATATCCATCTATTGGCACATCCACAGTTTCTCCATCTGTTAACCATGTCTCTGTTATTGCAATCACACTGATTTGAGGCCCTATCACCCAGCTCTAGGTGGCAGTAGTTTCTCAAAAGTGTCTACGTCTTTACCACAAAAACATTCCTTGTGGACTTACAAGGTGGTGGACAATGGCCCAATTCCAATACTCGCACTTGCACCCTTCATTTGCGCATTCCCGGCCAAGGGTGTGAGTGCGTAGGGTGTCCCGATTCTCAAGTGCGGAAGTTGACCACGCCCCATTGCACCCTTAATCTGCACTTCACCCAAGTCCGCAGCGATGCGGACCTCAGGGACCTCGGGCAAGGGTATTACCCACAAGACATTGCTGCGGGAGAAATGGCTCAAATTCCTTTTCTGAAAATATGTATTTTCTAATGATATTAGTTCATTTTACGAGGATTAGTTGATGCTCTGAATGTTTTAGACAAAGCAGCAATGAAGTTAAATTTATTTCAAATACCGTAATTGCTTTGTTGTTTGTTTGAATGTTGTTAATAACGGTTTTTGAAAAAAAGTTTCACAGTGACCAGCATCCAGGCATGCGTTGCGATCAATGACGCAATGCTCCCTGTCTCAATTCCGCAATTATTTGCACACTTGTGTACTACGCACTCGAACCCTACTGTGCACTTTCTCCATGTGAACTTTGCTGAAGGGCGCAGTGCGAGTATTGAGATTGGTCCAGTAACCGTCCCTTACCTTTGATCTTTTCCAACAAGCAGTTAGTGAGCTTGTAAAAACAAAGGGTGTTTACACAGGTCAAACATGTGACGTCAGAGCATTTTTGTTGCAGGTTAGAGTTTTTGAGGATGTTTTTAGTCCTGTACATCTACACTTTTGTGACAGGTCAAACCATAGAAACATGTCATCGTTTTGTGATATACCCGGGTACATGCGTACAGGGTCCACAGGGGCTGTGGCAAATGGAAAGAACGATTAGTTTACCTGCTCCACTGATTTGTTTACAAAGAAATAAAGTGTCTTTCTTTGTGACTAAATTTGTGGAAAAGCCCTTAATCTGAGATAATATCTCCTGATCAAAGTGTGTGTGTGTGTAGAAAAACAAATATGTACGTTCAAAGATATTCTTTTAAAAAACTTACTTTTTTAAATCTTTTGACTCAATACAGGAGGTTTTTGTTAGACTGACACCATCTGATTTGTATGAAAGATTAGAAAAACAGTACACACACACGCACACACATTCAGATTTGCATTTTCAAAATGACGGAGCAAAGATTTGGAATGCTACATCAGCATCAGCTGTCACCAGAGATGAGACATCCCTCTCATTTATCCAGGAAGACTATTCCTTACATGGAGAAGGGTTCATGTGGTTTCTTAGATAAAGATCACATTCCTCTTCAAACTATTAGGCATTATATTTGTATTTATTATTCATATTTACAGTAATTTTTGTTTTCATAAACGAAAAACTTTTCCTGTTTTTGATGTTTCTGCAACTTCTCTCGTAGGCTCCTAGGAATTTTCTGGAAATGTGCCAGAATAGGTGAGATATTTTTATGCTCTTTACATTTCTTTTTTTTTTTTTCAGCGATTTGTTGTGAATAATGTGAACCTCTATTTTAATGTACTTGTAGGTGAGAGGAAGAGTCCCTGGGTGGCTTGTTGCTGTGTCATCATGGCTTTTAGTATACTTTTTCTACAATAATCCAAAGACTACCACAAAACTGAAGAAATGGACGGGAAATGAGACATGGACTGTATGATCCTACAAACACAATGGGACCTCCACTGGCTGCCACTTAAAAACAAATTAAAACACAACTGAGAACTGTTTTCGCAAACCATCGCCGCAAGAACGTATCTCTGTAGGAGGGCAGGGGTGAGCCGATGGTCCCAGTCTGTCTAACTCCCTCCAGACGTCCAGATCTGTGTCTGTGTTTGTCTACGTGATATGTTTACTCCTGATCTATGTGTGGGGTGATTGGAGGGGGCAGTGCTTCAGTTTTCTGCTATTTATGGGATCAGTTGATAAATAGTTGGCTTAAACCTTTGTTTTGTCACCATCACATAAACTCATTTGTATTAATTTACGCAGAGGACACTCAGAAATGTCCAGACTTTCAAGACATGTACACAGTGACTTAAAATATGTCATTTGTGTTTGTTGTATCTAAATATTTTCATCTTATTTGGTAGAAAATTGAATTTAATTTGTGGCATCAACTCCTTGCTAAGGTGGCTTCTCAAAAGCTACCATAAACTTAGTCAGTTTGCAGCTATTTATTATTAAAACTTGATGCATTTTTTTAATTAAGCATTTTTCATCAGCTTACTTTGCTGACATCTAGTTATGTCAGTGGTGGTGATGCCAGTAATGGCGACTTTAAACAGCAAAGCTACATGTTGATAATAAAACTTTTTGTCAATCTTTTTTTCTTTGAGCTTCATTTCACAAACATTTTGGGTTTAACCACTGTTAAATGTCCTTTTTTTGTTGTTTTTGTTCCAAGTGTAGTCCTCACGTGTGAAAATGTAAACAATTTACCCAAAACCCCGCTGTCGACACTAATCTCTAATATTTTCAAGGTTGTCACATGACAGAATAAGTACCAGAAAAGCGCATTCATGTAAAAATTTGTTTTTATTCATTCCAGGAAATCTCGAAAGATAAACTGAACAAAACTCAACATACTTTAGTGTTCAGGCAGAATGTTTCAAATAATGCTGATTTAGCCAGGTTTTTTTTTTTTTTTTTTTTTTTTTTTTGACTCACAATAACAGAATTTCAAACAATGAGATCACATCACCTGCTGCAAGTTTAGATTCGGTTGACAAAGTGACAAATGACATTTTCATATGTTGGTTTTCTTTCATTTTTATTGGCATTGCTGAATGGGATTATAACCACTTGTTTGTGGGTAAATGGCAGCTCTAGACTGCACACATTGTCAGTCTTCTTGACAATGTGTGTGGGACTGTAGACAAGCTCACTGATAATCTGGTCCCAGATGAGTGTCCAATTCCGTCCAGCCTCTCATACTGTCCCTTGTTAGGGAACGTAGATTTCTCATCACCGAGTGTGTGACTGTTCTGGTAAACCTTGAGGAGATAGAGCACTGAGTGTGGGCTGCTGGTTAGTTTGTGACTGTCAGGCAGTGATGTAGATGCAGGAAGCTCTCAGACATCTATCTTGAGGAGCAGAGATACTGACTGGTGACTGGTGAAGACTTAACTGGGCTGATGGACTGAGCCAGAGGGTCCTACGATACAGAGCTGGTGACGGCCATGGTGAAAACGTTTATCGTCCGATTATATGATCTGGTAAAGGTTGAAAGGGGGATACAAAACAGACTAAAGAAGGTAACCAAGTCATCATGGTCCACTAACTGATGTTATCAAATCCATCTGGAAGACACCTGAAAACTAGTTTCACATTGCAAGTTCTGTTTTCTGTTGTAATTGACTGATTTGGGCTACTTAAGTGAATGGATGCTACAAAAGCATGCCTCGTGTTATTTACCATGTCAGAGCTCTGTAATCTGTTCATTACCAGCATCATCAGTCTAAACTACTCAGCAAAGTGTGAACCAAGTTGGTTTATTTTTTTATGGGCATTTCAGAAAATAATTCAATTGAACTTGTCATTTTTAGCAGCATTAATAAAGCCTTTTAGACTCATCTGAGCAATACATAGTTAGAAAGTAAACGCTGTAGGCACATCTGATTAACTTTTGGAACCCAATTCACCATGAGCTCAGCAAAAACAAAGCGGACTACAAATCACTGAGCTAGAATTTGGCGTGCTAAAAGTAGAGTCGTCTCCAACACCTCCATTGAACTAAGTGATTGTGAAAGATCTTTGTTGAAAACAGTGATATTAAAGGAGAACTCGACAGTTTTTGCCTGCTTTTAGCCCCCCTTAGTGTTTGTTCATAGAACCTCACTGCATTGGTCTTTTTAACACCTTAATCTAACCGCTGAAATGTCTCCCCAGCCTTCCTTCATGTCTATAGGAGGGATTCATCACTAAATTAAACTAATCAGCTGTGTTTATTATCTAAAACATGCAGGAAATGTGCAGAAACCAGACTGCAGCCCCAGGTATGTCAGCTAACTCTGATTTCACACTGAAAGCATCAGCAGCGGAACAGTTTACTCGCAAACTTTAAAGCAGTCTTTTCCACCCCGTGAGAGTCTTGGCTGCCTCACAGCTTCCTCGCTGGATTTGCAATATCACAACATCCCTCAAGACTTCAAAGTCTCAGTTTATGCTGTCTGCCATTAGACCAAAAAGAAGAAAATCATGTTTGATTAGTCTGCTCTGATCAGTACTACACTGTCTTGTATATAGCATATATGCCACTTCATATTATTTTATCATGGTTATATTCTTACTTTATTTTTGTCTTCCTTTTTGCACCAAGTTCCACAGCAATTTCCTGTTGTTGTGATTCTTGCACATATGAAAATAAAACCCTTCTGATTCTCATATCGGTGTTTGATGTCATATACGATGTTGTTCCTCTCCACTGCCAGGATTAAAGCCATGATAAACACTGCACTTCTGGAACGATACTGGGAGTAAATGAGCTGTTGGGTCACACATAAGCTGCATACAAATGAAATTGCATCACTGCAGTACTTTTATTTTGAAAATTACTGGGGATTTGACACTGAAACAGTGTGTGATTTCCTGTCTAGCTCTATGTTAACTGCGGAAAATGACGTGTCCCAGAAGCGGCTTGTGGCAAAAATAAAACCCGATCCCATCTTTCGCAGCGCTCCGTGGTGTGCCACTTCACGGCTGGTTTGAAACACTCTATTGACTATAATGGCTTCTATTTGAAGCAGTGATGTTCCACGCTGATGATGCTTTCACCGTGAAACTGGGGTCTGTTCCAACAGAGCAGCCGCCACTCTGAAGTTGCAAGTGGAATATTCTGGCCACAGGGGGCGATAGGCCTTTCCTCGACCATGAAAAAGCGTAATTTTAGCACATACTGGCTCAAGAAAATTATTTAAAAATATAAAAAATGTTGCTAAGTGTCTCTTTAAATATTACAATCGCCATTTGACAAACATGGGCCATCAATCATTCCTTAAAGGAAATGTGTAAATCTTCATTTTTTTCCATCCAAAAAGCAGCTAAATTAGCCTCTTAGAGCTGCAAAGTCTCCTTTCGCAGCAGAAACTTATAATGAGCCAAGTCCAGCTCAATTCAACGTAACTGAAGACATTTGCTTTCTCTGTTCACATTATCAATCACTTAGCTGCACTAAAGCAGCATCCAAAGCATATTACTTTCGTTTCCTTGTCTCTTTCCCTGCTTTGATTCAATCTGAGTTTCTTACAGTCGCGTTGGACTTCAAAGACCATCAGGCTAATAAAGCTTCAACCATCATCTCCTGCTGAGCAAACCAGAAGTGTCCAAACAGACCAGTGAGCTCTTAAAGCTGTTGGTGGGGACCGTCTGAATCCTGCACAAAAGGGAATAAAAAAAACCGAGACACTGAAGTTTGTGCAGAAAAAAAAGACAAGCATGAACAGAGCTTGGATCAGCTTCCATGTGACCCCAGTGTGTTCTGTTCTGAAACAAAATCTCAACTTTTAGCAAAAAAAAAAAAGATTATGAAGGAAACATTATGATATGCTCGACTTCACCTTCATGCTGTCATGTCTTTGTTCTGTCCTCACTAGCTCATTAGAAATGAGCAAACTGTTTTGAAGGGAAGGGGATGGGTGATGCCAGCTGAAAGACACCAACATCCTCCATGCTGGGCAAGTGTGGGTCAGTGGCCAGCCACTAATAAAGTCACTGTTAATTACAATGACACTAAATTTGTTTTCAGCTGTAGAATTTCAGAAGATCATTCACCAAGACACGTTTAACTTCTTTCACATGTATTCATTTTTTTATCTCATTAGATTTCCTAATAGGAGAGAATGGAAGTTTTTCTCCAGCTGAAAAACCAAAAAAGAAACCGATTCTGCAATAAATCTACATTTCTGGATGATGCAGAAAAACAGACATTAAGACGAGAAAGAAAGTACATCTCACACTTGAGTCGCTAGAGGGTTTGGTCATGTGCAATGAAACTTTTTATTGTTAGGAAAGAACCATGTTGCAGCCAGAAGTGCAAAAAATGACCCCTTTGTGTTCTCTTTTGTGCAATAAAATAATAAATTAATAAAGATCTGGTATTTTTGGTTTTTAATGCTCCCTGTCTTGAGATTGTCTACATATTCCATATTATTGTCTGTAATGACTTTTAAAGTTTCTTTCAAATATATTTGGTTTATTAGTTTTTATTAGAGATAAGGGGAGAAGCTCGGTCATCCAGGAGGGGCTCGGATTAGACCGGCTGCTCCTTGAGAGGAGCTAGTTGAGGTGGTCTGGATGCCTCCCTGGTGAGGTTTTCCAGGCATGTCCAACTGGGAGAAGACCCAAGGGAAGGTCTAGGACACGCTGGAGGGACTATGTCTCTTGGTTGGCCAGGAAACACCTTGGGATTCCCCCAAGTGGATGGGGAGAGGGAGGTCTGGGCGACCTGACTCCAGATAAGCGGCTGAAAATGGATGGATGGATTCTGTTTATTTTCACAAGTTCACAGGAAAATTTACGTTAAGACTGAAAAAAGGGAAATCCTTTTTTTTTGGGCTGAGCTTGAGACTCCCATGAAGCAATGATGACAAAGTGGTTTCAACTGATGATTTAAGAGGGAAATCCATAAAGAAGGCGGATCCCAACAAGCCGCTGTGGTCTTTAAGATTCATGTTGCAATATCCTAAAGGCGGACCATACACATGTTCTTGTTTTTATTGCCATATGGGCTGTCAGATGAAACAGATCTCTCTTTTTCTTTCAGTTATTGGGTCAGTGCATCATCAGGCTTAAACTGTATGTACTCGAGCAGACAGGAAAAAAGTGTTTTTGGACAGATAAGACATGTTTTTCAGATGTGGAAGTGAGATCCACCAAGGCTTCTCTGTGCCCTGAGACATGACTCAGGCTGAGGCAGGGAGGTGACCAATGTTCAACAGCGACAGGAAAAAATGTATCTATGCGTGAGTCATAGGAAGGACAATAGCACACTGTCTTTTATATAGTAAAGTTCCTATTCTTAGATAACTGTGTGCCAAATGTTATCTATTATCTCACTGAACTCTCTATCTAATTGGCTTTTATTAGTCAGATTGTGTGAACAAAGCTTTAACAATACAATATCAGCCTTTGAGGGTTTATTAACAGGCAATTACAAAGGAATAACAAAATTAAAATGACTTTACTTCAGATTTTACTTAAACACACACACACACACACACACACACACACACACACACACACACACACACACACACACACACACACACAGACATCCCCTCAAGCCGAGTCCTGAAATGTGCATCAATGAGCTGGTAACCAGGTCCATA